CATTGTTAATAGTCAAAGTGTCATTAAGGGATCCTTCTTTATAACTCACACAGCAGGGCGTCCAAAAATGATCTGGAGTGATGCACTGTGCTTTGGGGCCACAGCAGTGATTTTCTGCATACAAATCTACAACGAAGGACACAACGCAAAGGATAAGAGAGTGAGGGAGGGTGTGAGAGGGTGTAAAGAAGGGGGAAAAAAACTTCAGAATGTTGGGCCATTCATGTGAACGGAGTTCAGAGAATTTGCAGGCAGAGTGAAAAAGATATTTTATGCAGGCACATATAGCTGTATTCAGTAGGGGTAGGCCGAAACGGCTACATGGAGACTACAAAGCGTGGCTCCCATGGCTCATGAATAAATCGAGGAAATGATCAGAAAAAAGGAGGGAAAAATTGAGAGATGTTTAGACAGATGGGCACTTAAAGCAACTAGGAAGCAGCAAAAAAAAACTCTAATGCAACTTCAAATTCACCTAATAATTGATATATTTTCTCTCTTTCTATGCACCAAGAAAGGTTAGATCAAATCTGATGTGTTAGGAGAGCCTGTCAAAGAAACATCAAAGGACGTAGCTGCTTGGAGCCCCCCATATTAAATTAAATTGCCATCAAGAGAATCGGTTAAAGAGAGAAAGAGAGGGAGTCAAATAAAGGACTTTTAAAAAAGACTGATGCACAAATAGAAAAGAAATATCAGGGGGAAATTTTTGTCACATTGAACCCCCCCCCCCCCAAAAAAAACGTGCAGCAGATATTTGAGTGAAACATGTTCTGGAATATTTTTAGAAATATGATTTGATGAGTATCAAGAGAATCGGTTAAAGAGAGAAAGAGAGGGAGTCAAATAAAGGACTTTTAAAAAAGACTGATGCACAAATAGAAAAGAAATATCAGGGGGAAATTTTTGTCACATTGAACCCCCCCCCAAAAAAAACGTGCAGCAGATATTTGAGTGAAACATGTTCTGGAATATTTTTAGAAATATGATTTGATGAGATTCTGGCAAACATTTTTTCCTCTAGGCCTTTAATGTAATATCAAATGTTGCCTTGCTGAAGACAAGATGATATTTTAGAGAACATGATTTATTAATGCCAAGCTCTGTATCAAATGTCTGAAGTGCATGAGTAATTATTTACAAAAAAAACAGGATATTAAATAGCAAGATTAAATCCAATAAATGATTTAAACTTGCCTTTACTAAGCATCTCATACAGCGACCTATTTTTAAACGCTGTGGTAAAAAAATATATATTTCAGATCAAAGCTGAGACGTAACTACAGTCTTTAGACTGAGGAGTATGGCACTGGCTGCTCTACCAAACCACATTCATCACATTCACCTTATCATGCTCTCTCTGTAGTGATCATAATCCATTTCCACAGCTAGCGTCCCCTACGGCCAGGCTTCTCTCCACAGGACCAACAAACAGAGGTTAGGGGAAGCCAACCTTCTGCTTAACTGTTTTTCACACTATAAACCAATGCTTTGGTTTATGCCCTCGCCCCGTGCCAGTCATATGCTCACATGTGAGATAGAAAAAGCACTGATAGAATAAAAATCCATCCAAAATCTATAGAATGAATTGGATTTAGGCGGAGAATTTACCAGTGTTGTGGCATTAACCCCTTTGGAATCCATCCTTGGGCCCCTTCGCAGTCTGTCGTAACCCCCAGTTGTTCTGCTTGGCTAGTCGAGGGCGAAGAACCACAGCTCCTGAGAAAATGAGTTAGGTGCGAATCAAATTAGTAAGATCTTGTGTTCTTCACCACAGAGAAATGAAAACAAAATTTGGTAGATGGACCTGGACTTCTAATCAAATTCGTCAGCAGATCAGCAGCCCACCACAGCTGAATCTACTTAAGCATCACCTAAAATAACCTGAATAAAGATGACTGAAATTCTTGTTACTAAACCAGCAGTAATTGTTATTCTTTATTACAATAATAACAGACCTGTATTGTTGTATAGAGTGGGTGTAATTTCGCTATGATTGATTTTAAGGTGGTGATGATTTTGAATGTGCTCATGTCGTATTTAGAGCACTAGTCATGTTTACCGCTTTCAATACCTATTCTACTGTGTATCTATAATAATCAAACGTGTATTTTCTTAATTAAAATGAGGAATACAAAAGAATATCTGCATGAAAAGTTGCAGTGTGAGCAGAAAAGCTCAGTAGAGATTATGTAAAGCAATATGTAATTTTCTTGAAACTGTTGTGCCATTTCACATTTATAGAATTATCTGTAGCCGTGAGGTACAGCTTGAAATCACAGCACCACACAAAGAACTGAATTGCAAGGTAAACATGCCCCCGTCTGACCTTTAGGGAGGTGTGTGATTGTGCCAGCATCGCCATTAACGTAAACACCTGTGTTACAGGCAGGGGTTGGCAGCACCAACTCTATGGACACAACATTGATTTCCACTTAAGCTCAATACAGCTACTGTGCTCCCTCTGCCTCAGTACTGGCCATATTTATCCAAGGGTCAACAGGGGACATCCCATTGTGGTGCAGGCAGAAGGACAAAGGCAGCCACAATGGCTAAGAATCATCCCACCTGTTGACACCAAGCTTCTTTCCCAGCTTATTCGTCCAGGCTCCTCAGGGGAGCTCTGTCTGGCTCCATTTTGTCCATCCTTGGTCTGTCCATCTTTTTTCTCGATCTGACTTCTCAAGCACTTCTGCTGACAGAGAAATACTCTCGATTGTCATGTCGTTTTCATTATAGCAGTTTCAGAATGGACAAACATCTAGGACGAATGTATATGACCACAGACTGATTCATCGGTTGGATTTAAACTAGATTAAAATACTGAATATAAGATGGTGACTTAGTCAAATTTACTTAGTAGGCATGACAAAACTGAATTAAAAACTGATCAAATCATTTCATTATGTAAAAATATTTGATGTAAAAAGTTTTTTTTAAATAAATTTGGTAATTTTACAATATAAGGGTTAGGGTTACTTTTATAATACCACTAACACTATCATTCCAAAGCTTGGGGTCAGTATGATTTAAGAAATTAATTATTTTATTCAGCAAGGATGCATTAAATTGATAAAATTACAATTTCACATTACAGTTTTTACTGTAAAAAAAAATTACTGACCCCAAGGCTTTTAAACAATATTGTATAACAACTTGAAATTCAAGACATTATGAATTCAACTTCAACTTCAAAGGTTGAAAGATAAACAGCTTGAAATTCAAGACATTATGAATTTTTGTGTTTTGTGCTATTGTGTTAGAACAAGTATCTAGCCTAGTATCTGTGACCAGCAGCACATTCTGCAGGGTGATGGATGGATCATAACTTAGTGGAGACCAGAATCTCTCCAGGTGGGCAATGGTAACCTGGTGACCTTTGTAGAGGAACTTCTCGAGCAAAGGTCAAGCGGCAGGAGCGAGGTAGCATGACATCTGTCTGGGCTTCACACTACAGATTAATGCATGCCTCCTCTGTCCCAAAATTAATTTACCAGCCCAGACACCACAGGGAGCACCATACCACAGGAGGGCACTCTGAAATTTAATCAATAGCAAAACAAATATTCCAGAATTTGAGATATTTGCAGCGAGAGTCCTCCCTATTTTTCTGCTCATCCTGAAGCCTAGATAAGTAGATTCATAGCCATGACGACTGCTGAGACAGTAGGGGTGGGATCTGGGTCCAGCCAATGGAAACCCACCTCGGTCACAACCCCAGCCAACAGAAATGGGCACCACAATGGAGAGGCAAACTAACAGCCTAAAATCTCAAATCACCATGCAGTGCTGATCAATTAATTCAGTCAAAGCCAGGGGGTTAAAGTTAACTCTTTCCCCGCCAGCATTTTTGATCATTTTCACAACACTTTCAAGACCCCCAGAATATTTGGTTGTATGAATATCTGAACATGCAATATGTCAAAAGAAAAAAACAGATCCTCTGCTTTTAAACAAACAAACAAACAGAAACCGTTTTATTCTAGCTTCATGTAGGGCTGGGCGGTATATCGAGTTTGTAAGATATATCAATATATATTTTTTAAAATGATATGAGGCAATACAGCTTACATCAATAAACAGTATTGCTCCGAGCACATCTGAAAAATAGCGAAGAACAGAGTAAGCTGCTGCGGGCAAAGTGCATAATCCAATTTGTCCTAAACATGAGGCCTGCTTATATTAAGGGCTTTAAAATAACTCGTAAGAAATTAACACATATAGTTTAAAGCAGCTTGTCCCGTCAGATGCTCTGACAGACTCATGTGCTGCTGACAGAGTGCTGTTTAATGTGCTTGAGAAGTGCTGTTTTACTCAGTGCATAACTTACATTTCACAGGTATATTCTCCATCTTTAAATGTTAGAAAGTCATAAATATTTCAATTTTGCTGTCAGGAGCGCGTGAGCCTTCTGCATGCAATTCTTCACAGACTTCACTGAACCTACGCCACCGCACGCATCTGCGCCAAACAGACGGAGCACAATAAAATACGATTGCAATAATTCTGACTAAAATATACATTTTACTAAAATTGTTGTAGTCGGATAATAAATGTGTCATGCGTAGAATTTTAAACCTACAAGTAAGTGTATTTTATGATAGCAGTAAGCGTATAAAGTGACTATTGTAATGGGGTAATCAAAATATAATGCAATGAATCTGTGCTTTTGTTTTTATTTCTTTTCATTTTTAGTTTAGTGAATTTAACTTCTGCTTTAAAAAGCATTGTTTTTGTGCGTAGTTTGTAATGTTACAATGCAATGTGATTTTAGTGCCTTTTTTTGCACATATTGAGAGTGTTAAGTATAAGGGCTTTAAAATAACTCGTAAGAAATTAACACATATAGTTTAAAGCAGCTTGTCCCGTCAGATGCTCTGACAGACTCATGTGCTGCTGACAGAGTGCTGTTTAATGTGCTTGAGAAGTGCTGTTTTACTCAGTGCATAACTTACATTTCACAGGTATATTCTCCATCTTTAAATGTTAGAAAGTCATAAATATTTCAATTTTGCTGTCAGGAGCGCGTGAGCCTTCTGCATGCAATTCTTCACAGACTTCACTGAACCTACGCCACCGCACGCATCTGCGCCAAACAGACGGAGCACAATAAAATACGATTGCAATAATTCTGACTAAAATATACATTTTACTAAAATTGTTGTAGTCGGATAATAAATGTGTCATGCGTAGAATTTTAAACCTACAAGTAAGTGTATTTTATGATAGCAGTAAGCGTATAAAGTGACTATTGTAATGGGGTAATCAAAATATAATGCAATGAATCTGTGCTTTTGTTTTTATTTCTTTTCATTTTTAGTTTAGTGAATTTAACTTCTGCTTTAAAAAGCATTGTTTTTGTGCTTAGTTTGTAATGTTACAATGCAATGTGATTTTAGTGCCTTTTTTTGCACATATTGAGAGTGTTAAGTAACTGAGTTAAGTAACTGCAAAAAATTAAAAAAGCCTTGAAAAATGATTCTGGTGTACAACCACATATAAAAAAGCAACACAGCTTCTTGACAAGTCTAGACAAGTAAAAAATATACAACTAGTATTGCATATAGAACTATAAACAGTATTTAAAAATCTAAAAAACAAAAACTAATATAAAAGTGAACTGAAAGTGTATTTCACTATAGTCACTGGATTTAAGCAAGGTCATCATTTGACCATCTACTCTTGAATGAAACAACCAAACACAGATTACAAAATCAGTTCTTCACTTGTATTGTTGTGATGTTGACACGAATGGATGGACATACATGACAATCAGTCATATTTATTTATTTAACAAACAAATACAGTACGCTACAAAATTCTATCAGCCATTACAAAATATTATCCCAGATGTATTTAAAAATGTAATTTCCACCAACGTCACTGGCAAAATGCTGGCAAAATGAGTCTGAATGTGCACAGGCTAATTTTGAGCTGCAGGCAAAACATTTTTTTTAGAAAAAATGTAAATTTTGGTCAAATTTGAGGTTTTCACAAAAAATAAGCCCCGTCTAGTGAACTTGATGCTCCACATAGTAATTAAACATCGTTTATGTTTTCTCCGCTCGCTTCTTGACGAATGGTGCTTCCCCTCAGCACAAATTTGGTAATACACTGAACAAAATTATAAACGCAACACTTTTGTTTTTGCCCCCATTTTTCATGAGCTGAACAGGTGCTCACTAACACAGATTTAGACAGATTTGTGAAATATATTTGAGAGAAATAGGCCTTTTGTGTTCATAGAAAAAGTCTTAGATCTTTGAGTTCAGCTCATGAAAAATGGGGGCAAAAACAAAAGTGTTGCGTTTATAATTTTGTTCAGTGTAGTTGTAAAGCGCAGCATTCCAGCTTTGTGAATATTCATAGTGAATTCTCGATGGCATGAGTCTGAATCAGTGAAATGTGATGTAAACAAAACGATCGTGCTGACTGACATCCAAAGTGTGCGCATAAAGACGTGTCTCTCAGACAGCGTGCGATCCCGATATACACATATTCACAGAATTACAGTATTTCAAAATGTCTTGGCGAGTATTCACGCAAACATAATCTGTTATGTCTTAAGTGAGCATTTGATTAACCGTTGTAACATTATATTAGAGCCGTGCATTACAATAGGTCTTAATATATAGGCCGTCTGTCACATTATTGTTAATATAACAATAAAAGAAAAGAGGGTATCACTCGCTGCTCTTGACTGAACTGCTTTTTTGAGA